GACTCTAGAACCTACTATTTCCTACAAATAATCTACTAATAATCCACCGTCTCCAAAAGCTATCTGAAATCATGTCATTAGAAAGTACTAATGCCGCCATGTCGATCCTCAACTGTTTGTCCCATGTCCTCCTCCTGAACCCCTCTACCTATGCACATAGCATTTCCGTTGCATTTTGTAATAAAAGGTTGCTTTTGTGATTCAACTTCGTAGTCCTTCTAGTCACAAAGTCACTGCCATAACGGTTGCTCAACGAGCTATGAATTATATCTACTACTTTCATCCCAAAAAGTTTGCCCATTAGTCAAATATCTCATATATCGTTCAATAATTACAAAATAGGATAATCTTTTGGATCAATATCAATATTTTGTAATTATCTATTCGATATCACCCTTTACAAGTAAGAATACAACATGGTAGGGGTTTTGAGGATCAATAGTTTGTATGAACGGTCAACAAAACTTATGTCTCTAAAGACACTTGAATTCACAACTTAAGGGTTGTAGAGATCAAATGACACCATTGGGCCAAATGCCTTTTGGTGGTTATATATATTAACAAGATTCATCGAAGTTCTACACGGGCCATCCTCAATTTGTGCTCAATGCCCAATGAATGACACAATAAGATGCAAAAGGCCAATGCACGCTAGATATGGATTCAAACTTAAAAAATAAAAGAAGAAAACAAATACCTCAATTGTTGTGGTATTAGCAGACACCAATGATATGTGCATAATCAGAAACCCGAGAACACTTAAAGCAAAAGCCAAATTCAAGACTGCAAAAGAAAGAACGGTTAGGTAAGTGAACAAATGGAAAGAACGATTATGTAAGTGAACAAACGGTAAGCATAGACTAAAGGGTTGAGAAGTTTGCAAAAGGGGGTTTCATTAGACATACCAAAAGCTAGAAAGGTTGTTGCTAGCGTGCTAGGTGATCCGGGAATCTCTCCATCACTAAAGAATGCTATGAAATGTGGTAACAAGGCTAAAGTTACAACCGTGGTCTCGAGAAACGTGTAGAACTGCATCAATTAACGAAAATATCAAAAGAAGATCGACATTATGACAATATCCCTAACATAAGAATTGCAATGGACACATTAGTTATGAATTATGGTTCAATCCATACAAATTGTAACATTCCTTCAAGCTAAAAGTGGCGTCCATTTTATGATTTTAAGGGCTGTTTACTTTTTTACCATTAAGCCCTGTATGGGTTAAGTTGTTTGGATAAATTTTTCTATCTAAGGGACATGGGTTTGAGGGAGGCAAAGAGAGAGGGTTGGATTATTTTCGGGAAATTTCTGGTATTAATTTATTTGAGGTGGCATAATGGAGACAAGTGAGGGGTCTTGGCTTATTCCATATAGCCATTTTGGCTTGATGGCTTAACGATTAAGCTGTAAAGAAAAAGTCCTCTATGGCTGAGCAAATAAGTCGTCCAAATCAGTAAGCTCATTAAGCTGTAAGTAAACAGTCCCCAATAGTTCCACAAGTCAATTTCACAAATCATATGATTGAGCCAATGAAAGCTAAAATCTTTACAATTGCATCGAAGTATATAAGAAGTGCAAGTGTGCAACAAATAGAAAATTTTCGATATTGAATATGCCATCTCATTGTTTTAATCAGACATATTTTTAACCAAGTGTTTGACTATTCTCAAATGCAAGCCATTCAATTAGGATGAAAATGAAAGAATCTTGTGAATCATAATGAATGGTGTTGATCTTTCTTTTCGGTTTTATGAGAAGTTGGGAGCAAAAGTCATTCATAAAACAAACAAAAGATAACGAATTGTTATCCTGTTTTAAGATGTTCCATGAACTTGCAATTTTCCTTCTCTTTACAACATTTCAAGACAATGACCTATTTGCCTGTTTTCATCACTGCATTTTACTAAAGATTATGATTTTCATCCACAAGATCTTCTTTTTTGTCAAGGGTGTTTTAGACATTTCACCAATAGTGAAACACTTTTACATGAGAAGTATGTGACGAGATAAGTACTGAACATACCAGGAAGAGAAGAAAATACTTGTAGTTTAGTGCCCCAACACAGTTTACAACCCACACACAGTGATGATCCATTTTCAGCACACACCTCCCACCTATAACATGCAACAAAACATACATTCTTTATAATTCAAAAACTTCAAAAGAGATTAATTGATACCACCAAAAGGTACCAAACCAAACGAGCCTAGTATATTCCACCCGGAGGTGGGGCTGCCCCCCCTGGGGGTGTTGAGGTGGAGGTAAGATGTATGCAGACCTGACAACTACAACAAAGAGTAGAGGGTCTGTTTCCGTGAAGAATGATACTGCCAAAGAGTATAAATAAAATACAAAAAAATGAACTTACATACAGAGCAATGGCGGTATCAAACCAAACGAGCCCAGTATATCCCACCCAAAGGTGGGGTTGGGGGTGGTAACATGTAGGGCAGACCCTAGGACCTGATCACTACCTCAAAGAGTAGAGGGTCTGTTTCCATGAAGACTGATATGGCAAAGACTAAACAACATACAAGATTGAACTTACAAACAGAACAATGGTGGCACCGAGGTGGTTTTAACTGGTTACACTTTCGACAATAACGGATTCTTGCATTGGTTGGATCAGGTGTAGCCAACGGGCCAAATTCAGTTGCCTCCAATGGATCAATGTCTCCTCTTTCTTGATCTACAAGTGGCCTATAATTAGGCGGCACACCACCAGGGTCCGTGAAAACCACCGAAAAATAACTCCATAACAGCATCACCAGCTGGCTCAGCATAGATATTGTTATTAGGATCAATAATAATCACATGCACATTAAAATAGTTGCAAAAGATTAAGCGAAAACAGAGTACCAATTCAGTAAAGCAGTTAGTCTATATTCATATTTGTTGCTATGATTCTTACTATACAATTCGTTACATAAAAAAGCAAAGATCCCAGTTCCTTTACGATAAGAATAACCATTTTCAAGTCCAAATTTGGACTCATATCCGATAGAAGCTTCGATTGGAGCTCAAAATTCCCATAACCTTTGTTTACCCAGTAAACATATTTGAATCACAGTAATGGTAACAGCAAAGCAGGTCAACAACAATTTAGTTTGGAATTTATGATCATAATTTCCTATTTTAAGTTCATAATCATTAATAGAACTTAATGGTTGATTGACTCAAATGTAAACCTGTACCACCAATAAGCTATACAAGCTAAAACAGAACAAAACATTTACTATAATCAGCTGAAATTTTCCTTAAATTACCAAACATCTACTGTATATCCAATTAAAATCATGGGGTTCTGCAAATGGTCAAATTAAATTCAACAAAATTAAATTCAAGAGTACACACACAGCTAATTTTCATAATTTCATGACTTGGGTAGTTAAAATTCCCCAAATTCACAGAACCAAAAGGTGGTATCATGTAGAACTAGAACACAAACAGAAAACGCCTAAAAGCATCTTTAATTTAACAATTAATAAGAAAAATATCACAATGAAAGAAAATTATTACCAGGGTATGAAATACGATTAAGATAACAAGTGCGATGAGGGAATCAAGGCCACCGGCGGCCAAAGCAGGGCCATAATTGCACAAAACGACGGCGTAATAGGTGACCCCAACAACACCAAGAACCAACAAGATCATGATCGAACCTAATCCTCTGAGGGCCGTACAGAATTTGAACACATTCCAAGCCATCACAGCTCCAGATCTATACATAATACTCCTCAAATGAATCAATAACAAATGACGAAAAATTCAAGAAAAATTCAAAGAATAAATCAAACCCTCCAAAAAGGTTTTGATAATTCTCGTTTTTTCTTTGTGGGTTTTGATTGTTTGTGAATCTTGTGACGTGGGTGTCCTCTTTTAAGGGTTTATGAATTTTAGGGAAGAAGTGCTGAATCCATGGTGATGATGAGAGAGACGGAGGGAGAGAGGAAAGGAGCGAAAAACAAGGACTTTATTTTGTTGAGATCAAAGGTAAAAAAGCCAGCCTAAGTTACATAAATGGACCTTCAATTTATGTTAATTGCAATACAGTCCCTGTGTTTGCCATTAGCATTTTAAACCATGTCATATTTTATTTATAACTTATCAATTTAAAACATAAAACAAAAAGAGGACTTGAAAAATATACAAGTATCGAAAAATCACTAGCAAAATAACAATAAACGAACTTTCGGTAACAACTAAAAGCTTTATCTGTTGTCTTCGATCAGCCGAAATGTTATGGTAACTGAGAAAATGGTATAACGAACAAGATGACATGATTAACGACGAAGACAGGTTAATATGAGAAAGGACCGCCTAAGTAGCCGTTTACCAAACGCTTACTCGGGTAAGTGAGCACCAAGTCATATTTAAGGACCAAGAATCTTACCTGGTAAGAGTTAGACAAGAACCAAGAGTCTTACACGGTAAGTGAGGGCGATGACTCTTACCACGGTAAGCGCTTACCTGGTAAATTGTTGCATATGATGCCGTTTTACTGTTTTTGTGGACTAAAATGTTACTCGATAAGTTCAATTTTACCGATAAACGCTTACCGGATCAGGGACGGACCCAAAAATTTTTTCAAACGGTGGCACCATATAATTAATATAGTATAATATACATCTAAAAATAATTATAAAAATATGGTTTTTATAGTACCAATAGGGCTGTAAACGAACCGAACGTTCAACGAACCTTTCGGCAGGAGTTCGTTTATTTAATAAATGAACGAACATGAACTATTTTTTTTGTTCGTTTAGTTAAACGAACGAACATGAACAAGAGTCTTGTTCGTTCATTTACCGTTCATTTATGTTTGTTTATATTCGTTCGTTTATGTTCGTTTATATATTAAATTTAATATATTATCTTTTATTTATTTACTTTGAATTCAAATAATATTTATTTATGTTCGTTTATGTTCGTTTATATATTAAATTTAATATATTATCTTTTATTTATTTACTTTGAATTCAAATAATATTTATTTATGTTCGTTTATGTTCGTTTAGCCAGTTCGTTTATGTTCGTTCGTTTATGTTTGTTTAGCATGTTTACGAACGAACATAAACGAACACGAACACACCTTATTTCTAAATGAACGAACACGAACACAAAGATTTTCGTTCGTTGACCGTTCGTGTTCGTTCGTTTGTTCGGTTAAGTTAAACGAACGAACATGAACAAGCCTCCGTTCGTGTTCGTTCGGTTCGTTTATAGCCCTAAGTACCGATAAACAACTCCTAAACTTGTACCCGACGCGTCATCTTTTGAAAATGGTCAATATATACCAAAAAATAATTACAAAAAATATGATTTTGGTTATTTGGGCTTTGTTTTGTTTGGGTTTTAGTTGCACCATTTGGATTTTAGGGAAATACGGTAGCACTTTCTAAAACGATACGGTAGCACCGTTAACAAACCTAAATTTTTTACCCTTCGGCAGCAAAATAATACGGTGGCACGTGCCACCCATGCCACCACATAAGATCCGGCCATGTACCTGATAAGTGTTTGGTAAACGGCCCCTAAGTGTGCTTATGTTTGTCACAAGTTTGAAAGATTGTTTATGTGAACCGTTCTTTTGTAGTTATTGTTAGTGGTTTTAAACTTGCATTTGCATTTTTCTATCACACAAATCAGTATCTAAAAATTCAATTATGTATCTTCAAACTATACTGTTCAAAAATGGTTTTTGAGTAATATTTCAATTTACCTTCTAACCGATCTAATATCTGATTTCTATGATAAAATCGAAGCTTCCGTTATGGATTCGTAGGCCTTAAATTACTTCCACACTTTATTATTTTGGTTTATCCAAGGTAGGTTCTCTTATTCTCAGTTTACCACACATATAATAAAACAGTGCCGAGAAAACGTAAAGATAACTAGAGATGGTGACTTGACAAATTTTCAAGTAGTCCCGTCTCACCTCATCTCGTATGAGATGTTGGATCTATATGCTCATGACACTAAACTTGACGACACAGCCAATGATATACGATCCCAAAGGGTCACACACATACAAACAAATTAACCTCAATTGTACGATCAAATGTGATTCGATTATTTTCAATTCAAAGAATTGTCAAACAAATTATTATATAATCGAAATAATAATTTCTGATAATAATAAAATATGTCATATATATTTTGACTGTTGTTTAAGTCTAATATGTATTTGATACATATTATTATTTTCATTGTTTTAAATGTACACTTAATTTGTTATGTGTGACATTAATTATATAACTTTTATATTTTGATATAAACTTTATATGAAATAACTAGTTTCTTGGGTTGCAAGGAACTAGCATTCAAACAAGAGGTTGGTTTGTGTGGATCAACTTTGAAGGAAGATTTGTTTTTCTTCTCTACTCGACATCAACGCTCAAGCTTCAAAGGTTGCAATTCTAAAACCCACTCTGGTTGTGTTTTTCGTTTTTCTAAGTTTTTTAATGTATGAGATCCTTGTTGGGAGTTTTTGAGAAAATCATTGTAGGTTTATTTTATGCTTTCGTTGTTATCTTTGATAATATTGTTTTAAAGTTTCCTACAAATCCCATCACGGGGTTGGATATGAGGTGTCAAACAAGCAAGTACGATTGTACACACACACACACATATATATATATATATATATATATATGTGTGTGTGTGTGTGTGTGTGTGTATAGTTGAGTTCTGATGAGAAAGAGAGTTAAGGTGGGAAACGTAAGAAGAGATTTCTACCCTTGGATGCACATTAAGATGAGATGCACTGAGATGAGATGCACCGGATCAATCCATGTATCAAGTCGATTCATTGACGAGTTTGAGATGAAAGGTGATTAAGGGTCTAGAATCTTCAGATCCCTTCTTACACTTCTCATCTTAACTCTCTTTCTCACACGATTATTCACCTATATATATGTATGTATATATATATATATATATAGAGAGAGAGAGAGAGAGAGAGTTGAGTTACGGTGAACAATGTTCTTGATCATGAGAACCATTTCACATTTTTTTTAGATTTGATCAAGGGACGTGGATCGTTCGTCATTTACGTGAAAAAGGAACAATTTCATAACCATTTTTATTGTGGAGAGTGTTAATCATGGATATTATCATCTTCATTATTTTAATTTTAGAGAAATACATGAAACAGTTTCATTAAAATTTCATTAAATATTATATGAAACAATTTCATAACCATATATGAAACAAATTCATCAAAAAAGAGTATTATATGAAACAATTTCACAAGATTAAACAATTTAATGAAAATTTTTCATAAGATTAAACAATGAAATCGACGTATGATGGTGGTTTTCATTTGATCGCTCCTATATATATATATATAGTGTTAGATTCAAATGTTAACCAAAGTTTTTGTGTTAACTTTGTTAACCGATCTTGATCATTCAACCTTTCAATAAACGGTTGTGATTAATCATGATAAAAATTTATTTTTTAAAATTTAAAATTTCATAAAGATAAATGAACAAAGTTGAAGGGTATTTAGGTAAAAAAAAATATGTAACTCTCATATCATTAATTGGGATTTACAAAATCAAAAAATTCTATGATTTTTGTTAATATAAAAACCATATGAACACAACTATATATATATATGAACCATTGTGTAAATGCGAACAAAAAATTGACATATATATGAACTTGGACTGCATAACATTTATGAATATAATAAGAATAACTGTTATACGAAAGGAAATAAATAAAAAAACATGTATGAACACAATATGAACAACTTGTGAACAATAGTTCCTTCATTATAAACCCATTCAGGAGCGATATTATGTTAATTGGAGTTTTATACATGCATTGCATCCACACCGTTTAAAGTTAACCCCTTGTTCATATATGTTTCTGGTCTTATGTGGTTGTTCACCCCTTATTCATATCGTGTTCACCCCTTATTCATATCGTATAAAATATATGAACACATAACCCCAACGCTATGAACACCGGGTGCAAACACTTACACAAATATAAAGATTTTGTATCAAACTTAAAAAATAACACTTGTGTTCATATGATAAAAGTAACATGAACACAATGGTTCATGATTCATAAAAGTCGGTAATATGACAATATAAAAATGGGTCGTGCATATACTTCCATTTGAACATGTGAATTAGGTACGTATTAATAATTAAAGAAAAAAAGTTATCAACGCAATATGAACTACAAAAAACACAACACATCATAATGAACATAATTTATTAAAACGAGTCTAATAAAATATTAATTCATTACCAAGGCATTCACTTTGGTTAATTTCTTCACTTCCCGAACTCGAACTCCGATTGTCACCATAAACCATTTTAGTTAATCTTCTCAATGTTGTCGATTTTTTTTCCAATGTGTTTATCCATAATAGCTTAAACGATACCGAAGATTTTACTATCGTGCTTCCTCCACAAATCAAAAACTCATAAAACAATAAAAATGGAAGATCAAGATAAAAATATCAATATTATAAATGCATATTTTTAGAGATTTTATGATTTTGTAACTCCTCTTTAATGGTATGGAAATTACTCAATTATCCTCACCAGATGAATATGGTAAGGACTAATGATCTAAACTCTTACCCGGGTAAGCGCTTACTAAGAACTCTTACCCGGATGAATATGTTCATTGATCAACTTTATAAGCTAATGATCTAATAGTCTAAAGTTGCACGATGACAATTTTGTGATTATTGAGAAGTTTCGTGGCAATTTTGTGATTATGAATGTTCAGACTGTAAATCTAATCCAAAGGTTGAGAATTGATCTTACGGGTCTCATAAAAAACCCTTAGTCTCACATGATCCCAAGTCACGTAGACCATAAGCCTTGTTGATCGTCCATTGATCCCATCTAAATAAGTATATATTGAGTCATACAACACCCTTCCTAAGTGACTTTGTTGTGGTTACATATTC